AGTGAGCGGGAACCGGTCTGTATGTGGGATCCGAACCCTCGGCGGGAGCGCCGCCGCGCTCCCAAGCGGCGCACTGTAGCAGTGTGCCACCGGGCCGGCCCTGGGACTTTATATATTTTTAATCCTTCATTATATTCACTGCATAAGTCAGTACAGTGCAGAGCACCCAATCAAATCGCTTGTAAGTACTTACTGATGTTTGGCTTTACAGAGTAGTCCACTATGTTCAATTTGACAACTGCATGCAGTGCAGACAGTCAATCTATTCCTTCTTCCTCATACTGACAGTGAGGGACTGTCTGAGCCAGGTTTTTTAACCTGGAGGTGGAGTGCAGTCCAAACCTTCTGAAATCATATGCAAATTTTGTATGCACTTAATTAAGTGTGGTTTCTTGGGAGAGCCTGTGTAACTTTCAGTAGATTCTGAAAGTGTTCAGTAAGGTTAAGCGCCTTGGACCTAGACAATGCAGGAAGCTAAGAAAGCTTTCCAAAGTCAAGCTGGACTTGGAAAAATTACTAAAAAGAAAATTATGACATGTAGTGCTGGATAGGTTGTTGGTAAAATACATTGGTCAGTAAATTTTAGACTTTATGATACATAGTATTCTTTGTTATATAAAGTCCCTTTCTTAAATTCTTAACAATGAGCTACTGTAGACTGGAAGACAACCTTTCTCTTGTAGAAAAAATTACTTGTTTTAATGTGCATATGATGGGATCTTTAATTTGGCTTAATGCTTTAAAACTTAAAAGCAAAAAACTTGTTAATAACAGTGGTGAATTATAGTTTAATTGCTTTATGTTATGCCCATTTCTGTAAATCAGACGTTTTTTCTTAGGTAAATTGTTCTGGTGTCAAAAACAAGGGGGAAAAAAATTTTTTTTTCACTTGACTGAAGTTATTAGCACTGTATGCAACGTGACTGATTCTAGAAGCCCTTGCAGTACAGTGTTTGGGAGCCTTGAGTAGAGCTGTGCATACCGAAGGCGCATAGCACAGAGCACTTCTGGTCTAAGTAGGTTCTATTTGCAAATGTTTGTTTGAGGCTATAATTTGAATTTACCAATTTATGACTTGGAATTCCACCTGAGGCAGTTTTTACATTTAAAATTTTCCCCTCATTTTAGTCATGAGTGCCTTAATTTTATAGATTTTTTTTTTAGTTTATATAAACAAGCTTATCAAGAGTATATAAGAAAGAAAATTAGCAAGAGAATTTTTGGGGTTTGTTTCTTGTGTTTTTTTGCCAGCTGACCAGTATGGGGATCTGAACTCTTGACTTTGGTTTTACTATACTGCGCAGTAACCAACTGAGCTAACCAACTAGCCAGTTGCTCTTTAGTGGTACTATCGTAGAATGATTTCTTGGCATTTATGAATTTAGCAGAATTATATAGTGTTAATAAACCACTAGCTTTTTAAAGTAATAAATTTTATAGCAGTTTTAGGTTTGCAGAAAGTACAGTTTACATTACATCCCCCCAAGGGTTTCTCCCATAGTTAACATCCTTACATTAGTGTGATACATTTGTTAAAGCTATGGACCAATACTGATATATTATTATTAACTAAATTTTACATTAGAATTTCCTCTTCATGTATACAGTTCTGTGGGTTTTGCTAAATGCATAATGTCATCTATTTACTATTACAGTGTCACATAGAATAGTTTCACTGCCCTAAAAATCCTTTGTGCTCCACCTGTTCCTCCCTCCCCCTGCCCCCAAAACCCTGGCAACCACTGATCTTGTTTTTTTTTTTTTTTTAAAAATAACCTCAAACATTTTTCATTTCTTTGTGTTGGGAATATTCAAAATCCTCTTGTCTAGCTAATTGAGAATATACAATAAATTGTTAATTATAGTCACCCTACAGTGCTGAGGAACACTCGATCTTCCTTCTCCTGTCTGTAATTTTTTATCCGTCAGTCAACCTCTCACTATTCCCCTTCCCCCGCCCTTTGCAGCCTTTGATAGGCACAGTTCTACTCTCTTCTTCTATGCATCAACTCTCTTAGCTTCCACATATGAGTGAGAACATGCAGTATTTCTCTTTCTGTTCCTGGCTTACTTCATTTGACACAATGTCCTTCAAGCTCATCCATGTTACCTCAAGTGACAGGATTTAATTCCTTTTTTATGGCCAAATAGTATTCTGTTGTGTATATATGCCACATTTTTTTTATCCATTCATCTATTGATGGACACTTAGACTGTTCTATATCTTGGCTGTTGTGAATAGTGCTGCAATAAACATGGGAGTTAGGATCTCTTTAATATACTGATTTCCTTTCCTTTGGAGGGTAATACCCAGTAGTGGGATTACTTGATCGTATGGTAGTTCTATTTTTAGTTTTTTGAGGAACTGCAATACTTTTTTCTATAATGGTTGTACTAATTTATATTCCCACCAACAGTGTGTAAGAGTTACACTTTCTCTGCATCCTTGCTAGCATTTATTTTTTTGTCTTTTTGATAATAGCCATTCTAACTGGAGTGAGATGGTACCTCGTGCTTTTTGATTTGCATTTCCCTGATTAGTGATGTTGAACATTTTTTCATATGCATAAACCACTACTGTTATTTGTTGTGTTCCTGTTTGTTAAAATAGTTTCATATCGGTTTATTCTGGGGACAGTTTTTTTTTTTTGGTGGATCAAAATAGTCATGAAAGAACTTTAGATTTACTATTTCTGATGGCAAGTTGATATTATTGACTTGGAATATGTTAAGAAAAACATGCTACATTCTGAAACTGGTGAGTTGGGAAAGAAAAACTAATGTCTTTTTGTTTTTGTTTCAATTATACAGCAGATATAATTTCTACAGTAGAATTTAATCATTCTGGAGAATTACTAGCAACAGGAGATAAAGGTGGTAGAGTTGTCATCTTTCAGCAAGAGCAGGAGGTAAGTGTTTAAAGTTTAATGTCTGAATTTCAGTTTGGTCTTGGGACTAGAGTTTGTGTTGCACTGAGAATCTCATCAGGATGTTGGAATTTTTTAAAAGAAGTGTCTGTTGAGTAGAATATCCAATATATAGATAGCTCTGATTCTCTTAGTTTTTGTATGCGTGCATGTGTGTACAGGTGGGTGTGTTGTTTTGATTTTAAAACAACACTTTAATTGTAAAAAGATTTGATTAGAGAAGGAGGTGGAAAGTGGTGGAATAATCAAAGATTTTAACTGATTTTGAAGCCTTGACCCTTGATTATAATTTTTCTCTTAAAACTCGTTAAAACAGAGTTGCTTTGACCTCTTAATGCTTAATGTAACTAGGGGTGGAAGGCTAGTTTAAAGAAAAATCAGCTCAATTATTTTGGTGTCAGTTCATACTAATACTGTTAATACAGTTTAAATATAAAGGTTTAAATGACAGTTGCATGTATATGCATGTAATGTAATTTATAAGTGCAATGCTAGCTTTTAAAGTGAGATGTTTGGAAATTGCTTCCTTTCCTCTTTGAAGAAAGGAATTTCTCATTGCAGAGTCTGTGATGAAAGTGGGATTTGGTTTTGTTTTTCTTACAACTTAGGCACATTTCTGAATCTGATTGACAAGACTTCTCACTAAAATTTTATGCTAAACAAAATTTATCACACTGGATTTTCCCTTACTCTCTCCCTCCATTTGTAGATCAAAGTTTAACCTTTAAAATCATTTATTTTTAAACATCCTGCCCCTGTCTGTCTATAATATATTCAAAAAGAGTTTAATGTGGATAAATTTCAGGGTTTTACAAATAGATTTCTAAATCATAACACAGAGTTAGGTTTTAAAGGATTGTGAAATTCCTGAAATAAGCAAAGAATCTGGTAATAATACTACTACTTTGCACTTCTATAGCGCCTTTGACCTGAGGATCTCAAAGTGCTTTACAAACACTAATGAATTAATCCTCACAACATCCCAGTGAGGTAGGTAATTTAATTTTAAAAGAAATGATTAATAGTGTCTGATTAGAAGATGCACAAACACTAAATATGTCTCCTTTTATTTATTTATTTTTTATTAACGTTTTTGGCTGGAAGAAAATATGAAAATAAGTCTCAAGCTTTGCTTGACAAAGAATGGTCTTGTGGAAAGGGGGGCTAAATCAGTTTTCTATTGCTGTTTTCAAGCAGCTAAAAACTTGACCATAAGACTTTTGAAGTACTTAGAGTTGAGATGGAACCTTACAGATCATTACAATTTCTTTGTTTACAAATGAGAAAACCAAGATATAAAAAGATCATTTCATTACTTAGTGGCAGAACTAACAGCCAGACCCCAGAACTTCTGACAGGTCATCTTTTTCAGTGTTGTTTGCTGCCTTTCATGTTAGATAATCAGAATGTGAATGTTTATTTACTTAGCGTGTAGAACAGGCCTTCCCACAGGTATTCTCTGCCCTCGAATGTATTTTTTACTGAGTTAATGGCTCTCTGCACTTTGCTTTTGTTTTACAGAAAGGTATTCAGAGAAAAATTTTTAAAAATTAATTTTGTTCATTATGTTTAATCTTGAAGGATAATACACAGGCTTAACATTCTGAGGGTTTCAGAAAGATTCTTCATTTTTAATGGAGTCATTGTATTGTCATTTAAAAACTAATTTGGAAATATTTCAGTTGAGAATGAAGTCATTTCCACCTTCTGTAGGTTTGTTATTAAAGTTCAAAATCAAATGTGAAAAAATGGCTGGAATTTAAGAAAAATAGAAGTGTTTACTTTAATATGGGTTCAATAGATGTAGTCAAAGTAATGGTTTAGTATTTTCCTATAGCCTGTCAATAATATATTAATTTGAAATTAAAAGCCTAACGTAGTTACTGAAATTGCTCAAACATTTTACTTGTATTAGAAAATAAGGCCAGGGCCAGCCCGGTGGTGCACTGCTACAGTGCGCCGCTTGGGAAGTGCAGCGGCGCTCCCGCCGAGGGTTCGGATCCCACATACAGACTGGCCGCTCACTGGCTGAGCGAGGGGCGGGGGCAACACCGAGGGGTGCGATCCCATTGCCGGTCCCGGTCCGGTACGGGCGTGACACTGAGGGTTGCGATCCGTTGCCGGTCACAAAAAAAGAGACAAAAAGGAGAAAAAAAAAAAAAAAAAAAAAAGAAGGCCAAAAAACTTATTTAAATACATTGTCTATGATTCCTTCTGAAATTCCACTGAGAATAAGACCCTAAAGTGCTAATATTTTAAATACATACTCTTGTAAGAAGAAATGAACAGATGACTGACTTTTTGAGAACGGCCACTGGTGGGAGAAATAGGACTTCCTTTCATGTATCTGTCATTCTTCTTACCCATATTTAATTTGTTATCTAGAACTTCAGATTAGTAGTATGTCTCTGAGAATTACTTATCAATGTAAATATAATTATATTTTTAAGTGATAGATTAAATAACAACTATGATAGTGATTAGATTGACTTTCCCCTGAAACTTGATCTTGTTAGTATTAATTCGGTGTTTTACCTAATTAATTTTCCACTTTTTTTTTTTTTTTTGTCTTTTGTCTTTTTTCCGTGTCCGGCAACGGATCGCAACCCTCAGTGTTGCCCCCGTACCGGACCGGGGACCGGCAACGGGATTGCAAACCTCGGTGTTGCTCCCGCGCCTCGCTCAGCCAGTGAGCGGGAACCGGTCTGTATGTGGGATCCGAACCCTCGGTCGGGAGCGCCACTGCGCTTCCCAAGCGGCGCACTATCCAGTGTGCCACCGGGCCGGCCCAATTTTCCACATTTTAAAGCTGTGTTTTATACTAGAGCTTGTAATACAGTATTGTCTTCGGGATCTATGTTAGTGATTATAAATGTGTTTACTTTTAACTTAGAGGCACCTACCATATTTGGGTGAGATGTTATGAATTCACATTTATACATCTGTGAAATAGTGTTGCAGTTTGAAAAGTGGAAGGAAATTTAGAGGTGATCTTTTCCTAATTTTTAGGTAAATTTCAGAAGTAGTTACACAATAAGGTTAAATTGCTTAATTTAGAAGCAAAGCTCTTAGATTAAGATTTGGGTCTCTGATTTTCAGTCCGGCTATTATGCATACATGCCAGTGTACACTGGTACCTATCCAACAAGTATTTCTTAGTCTCTGGTAATGATGTTAGCATTATTTGCAAAACAGTGGCATTTGATCTATTGTGGCTTTATCCTCTTACCAAGATAATGCATATATAGAAAAGTACACAGAATCATAATTGTATAGTTCCACGATTGTTCACAAAACAAACACCCTTGTGCAACTATCCCAGAAATCAAGAAATAGGATATTTCTGGCATTCCAGAAGCCCTCTTCTGCCCTCTACATCCCCATTTCCTCTCCTCCCAAAGCTGTGAATTTGTTTTGCCTGTTTTGAACTTTCAATGTATATGGTACATTCATAGAATTTAAGAGCTAAAATTTATAGGGTTTTGCAGGGATTCTTTTTTGTCTCATGAATTCCTTTGATAGGCTGGTAAATCTGTGGACTTCTCAGAATGTTTTAATTGCATAAAGTAAAACACAAAATTATAAAGGAAGCTTTATTGAGATATATTTACCAAAATATTACAAAATACTATAATTGAGTAATATATATTTTAAGTGGGTGGGTAAAAGCTGGCCTGTGGATATAAAAATACATGATTTCTCTAGTGACAAAAACACCAGTATTGCCAAATACTGTAGTTTGTTACTTTATGTTCATAATCAGAAGAAATGCTGAATTTTAGCTAGAGGGTAGTGAAAATAAATATATAAACTTTACTCTCATCCAAAATTACAAAACCCCTGGGTTTTATCTCTGGGCCCTTAGGGGGTTTGGGTGATCTGTGAGCCCCAAATTTATAACGCCTGGTAGTGCAGTCTCCTTTTCCCAGTAAAGAAACCAGGAGTCCAGACCCAACAGGTTTACTCATCCAAAGTCATATGGTTAACAAGGAGGGGAGTCCTTGATCTAGAACCCACATGTCCTGATTCCCAGCCCACAGCTTTGCCCACTCTGACCTGGGTAGAGCAACAGCAATTCATGTGCCAGACTTTTTGCCAAGGTCCCTAAGTCTTATTTAGTCTTCCCAGCAGAATAACAAAGATATATAAGACTGTTACAAAGAGCTTGTGTAAAAATAGAATTGAAAGATAATACAAATCTTTCCATGAACTCTTTGAAGGTACTCTCTTATGTACACTTACTCTTTGTGTCTCGATTTATTACAAATTTATGCATAAATTGAGACTTAAAGATGAGTAACGTTTCCAATATCATACAGCAAATCAAGTGGATAAAAAGCTAATTCTTTATAAGTTGAGATAAATATCCACAATTCTGGATGTTGATTTAAAAATGGAAAGAAACCTTACATATAGTAATGAACCTAATTGTTACAAATCACACAGGAAAATCAGTTTTATTACTTTATAGTTATAACTAATGAGAAAAATACTTGATCCTCAGGCTTTTTAATAGTTTCTATTAATGAATGATCTCTTCTCTACAGAGGGAAAATGTTGGGAAGAGTTTGGACTCTTTGGAAAAAGTGGAAAGACCTCGGTTCTAGTCTTGGTATTCGTTCATGAATTTGTCCAACCTTCTCCTCTTGTTCAGTCTTCTCTTGTCCAGATTTCTGTTCAATCTGCTGTCAGACACTTTTCAACTACCTGTTAATCTTTTGAGAGTTCCAGTTCATTAGGGTATTCTGTTTTCCTGAGTAGGATGTTATATAGATGTAGCTTTGCTGATTGCTGAGCCTGTCAGCATAAATGTCACTAAATAGCTGTTAGATAAGATAGGATTCCTTTAAATTCTTTTTTCTTGTTAAGGCCAGAAATTACATCTTTAAGGGATGTTTTTGACATATTAAAGAAAAATTTTCTCATTTTACCTGTTAACTATATTTTTTATATTGTTCCGCACAACAGAAGCAGCTCTAAAC